AGGGAAAACACCAGAACCAGGTTAAAGAGGGCAGATATGATATCGTTGCCATTATGGAAACATGGTGGGATGAAACCCACACATGGAACACACAGCTAGAGGGATTTAAATTATTTAAAAGAAACAGAGGATGTTGAGTTGCTCTCTATATAAGAAATAACTACATCTCTACAGAAATAGAGCACAACAATGATGAAAACTGTTTTGAATACATTTGGGTCAATATAAAAGGGAGGGAAATGACATTGCCAGAGGTGTATACTACAGGCCACCCAACCAAACAGAGGAAATAGATGAACTTTTTGCTAGTCAGCTAACTAAGGTATGTAGGAAGCACGTCACAATAGTAATGGGGGACTTTAACATCAACTGGGAGACAAACTCTGCACCAAGTGGAAGATCAAACAGGTTCCTGGCAAACCTAGCAGACAACTTTGTATGCAAATTTGTCTGCATATTGAAGTCTATCTGCTATGGAAGTAATGATTAATCTCTCTAAGAATTCTCCTAGGGTTTTGTGAAAAGTGAAACAAACAAATAATTGCTGATCCTCAGTTTTTGAAAATATGAAAACCCTCTAGTGCAGTGGTGGCGAACCTATGGCACGGGTGCCAGAGGCGGCACTCAGAGCCCTCTCTGTGGGCAATGCGTGCTGTTGCCCCAGTCCTAGGTCTTCAGCTGGGTTTTATAAAACCTTTTCGCTTTAGGCCTCCACCGCCATGTGCAAAAAAAAAAAGGTTCAATCAGTCAATTTCAACTTCTCGCGGGAAAAAAAAGATCTTGCAAAGTTGGAATTGATTGATTGAACTTTTTAGTCCCACCCAGTCTGCCATTACCACTGCAGCCACACATACCAAATGGGCCATGCCCACAAAATTGACCACACCCACCCAATTGGCCACGCCCATCCGGCACCTCACGATACATAAGTGAGTTTTGGGTTGCAGTTTGGGCACTCGGTCTCTAAAAGGTTCGCCATCACTGCTCTAGTGAAATCTAATTGTTTTCCACACTTCAATGCTTTCATAACCTAGCAGACAACTTTGTCTCCCAAAAAGTAGAGAAGGGAACTAGGGGATTAGCCATTTTGGATCTAATTCTCACTAACAGAGATGAAATGATAGAAGGTGTTGAAGCCATAGGAACCTTGGGAAGAAGTGATCATGCAATATTGGAATTCAACATTATGGAAGCACAAGCAATAGAACACAGTCAAACTAGAGTCTTGGACTTTAAGAGAGCTAATTTCAATAAACTTAGAGAGAGCTTAGGAAGGATTCCATGGATGAGAATCCTCAAGGGGAAAACAACTCAAGAAGCTTGGGAAATTTTGAAAAATGAGATAATAAAAGCCCAGTCTAGCATAATACCAACAAAGAGGAAAAATAACAGCTCTCAAAAGAAACCAGCATGGCTGCATAAAGAACTCTCTGACAAATTGAAAGATAAAAAGGACAAGTATAGAAAGTGGAAAGAGGAGCACATAACTAAGTCAGAATATTAGCAAATAGCCCAAGCCTGCAAAGATGAAGTGAGGAAAGCTAAGGCTCAAAATGAACTAAGGCTTGCAACCAAAGTAAAAAATAACAAAAAAAAGCTTCTTTCAACATGTAACAAAAAAGAAAAAAGTGAAGGAAATGATTGGTCCATTAGTGGGTGAAAGTGGCAAGAAGGTGACAAGCAACAGGGAGAAAACAGGACTATTTAACTCATTTTTTGCATCTTTCTTTACACAAAGGGAAAAAACAGACCAACCTATCAAAACTAGTGCCATAAAAAACAGAATAGAAACACAAGTTAAGATAGGCAAGAAAATGGTAAGTGAACACCTGTCCAGCCTGAATGAGTTCAAATGGCCAGGACCAGATGGATTATACCCCAAGATTCTCAAGGAACTGGCAGATGTGATCTCAGAACCACTGAACTATATTTTTCAAAGATTCTGGAGTACTGGGGAACTACCGGAGGACTGGAAAAGAGCTGATGTAGTTCCCATCTTCAAAAAAGGAAAATAAATGGATCCAGGAAATTACAGATCTATCAGCCTGACCTCAATACGTGGGAAGATTCTGGAAAAGATAATCAAACAACGAATCAGTGAACACCTAGAGGCAAAAAAGCTCATTACTAAAAGCCAAAATGGTTTGTCAAAACCAGATCATGCCAGACAAATCTTATTGCATTCTTTGCCAAGTGACAAAATTAGTGGATCAGAGAAATGCTGTGGTTATAATTTACTTGGACTTCAGTAAGGCATTTGATAAAGTAGATCATAACCTACTACTTGACAACATAGAAAAATGTGGGATAGACAGCATCACCACCAGATGGATCCGTAGCTGGCTCACCGGCCGTACTCAGCATGTGGTCCTCAATGGAACCGTATCTACATGGAGGGAAGTGTGTAGTGGGGTGCCCCAGGGCTCTGTTCTGGGCCCAGTGCTCTTCAATATCTTTATCAACGATTTGGACGAGGGGATAGACAGGGAACTCATCAAATTTGCAGACAAGACCAAGCTTGCAGGAATAGCCAACACTACAGAAGACAGGCTTAAGACACAGAAGGATCTGGACAGACTTGAACACTGGGCACTATCTAACAAAATGAAATTCAATGGTGAAAAAGTAAGGTTCTACATTTAGGCAAGAAAAAACAAATGTACAAGTATAGTATAAGGGCTACCTTGCTCAATAGTAGTAACTGTGAAAGGGACCTCGGAGTCCTAGTGGACAATCACTTAAATATGAGCCAGCAGTGTGCCGCAGCTGCCAAAAAGGCCAACACAGTGCTAGGCTGCATTAACAGAGAGATAGAATCAAGTTCAGGTGAAGTGTTAATACCACTTTACAATGCCTTGGTAAGGCCACACTTGGAATACTGCATCCAGTTTTGGTCACCGCAATGTAAAAAAGATGTTGAGACTCTAGAAAGAGTACAGAGAAGAGCAACAAAGATGGTTAGGGGACTGGAGGCGAAAGCATATAAGGAACAGCTGCTGGAATTGGGTATGTCTAGTTTAATGAAGAGAAGGACGTGGGGGGACATGATAGCAGTGTTCCAATATCTCAGGGGCTGCCACAAAGAAGAGGGAGTCAAGCTATTTTCCAAAGCACCTGAAGGCAGGACAAGAAGCAATTGATGTAAACTAATCAAGGAGAGAAGCAACCTAGAACTAAGGAGAAACTTCCTGACAGTTAGAACCATTAACCAGTGGAACAACCTGCCTCCAGAAGCAGTGAATGCTCCAAGACTGGAAGTTTTTAAGAAGAGACTGGACAGCCATTTGTCCGAAATGGTATAGGGTTTCCTGCCTGAGCAGGGGGTTCGACTAGATGACCTCCAAGGTCCCTTCCAACGTTGTTGTTGTTGTTGTTGTTGTTGTTATTATTATTATTATTATTATTATTATTATTATTATTATTATTATTATTATTATTATTATTATTATTATTATTATTATTATTATTATTATTATTAACTGGAGAGAGAAAAAGTGACAAGAGAAGTGGAGAAAAAGGAAGGAAAAATATTCCTAATAAAAAGGAGTGGGCAAATGGCCATGACAAAGACATTGATTTATTTTCTATATCTACAGAAATACCTATGATCATACAGAAAAACTTTTTGATTCAGCAAAGTACATTGATTAAGAAAGATACTGGGCAAAGAAAAAAATTAAGATGGAAACTAAGAAAATAGATGATGGGACTTATCAGCAAGAATACTTTAAAAAGAAACATTTGTTCGAATATGGTTAAAGGAGTAGAAAAACTTTGGAATATACCACTCTAAGAGGGATGAATTCTCTAAATAATATAGTATGCTTCGTTCTTTTCTGTGACTTAAATAAAGAAAATATTTTAGATACTTAAATGTGACTAAATTTAAGAAAAGTATAAAAAATGTTTTGAATCAGAGTCAAGGGATTAGATGATTAGACCTATTGAATGGAATGTTTAAAGATTAAATATATTTTTAATTATGGTTAAAAAGAATAAGAAATTGAGGAAATAAATACATATTAACCTAGGAGGGATATATACTGTATTTTAAGTAGTATGTTATTTCTTATGTTCTGTTGCTCTTGCTTTCTTTTCTTCTTCTTTTTTCTTTTGTTTTTCTTCTTTTTCTTCTCTCTTTTCATTCTTTTATCTATTTCTTAAGAAATGTAAAATTGTGAGATGGCTTATATGGAAAAAATAGAATTAAATCTTTCAATGTAAATGTAATTAATCGTTGAGAAAATTTTCACTCGTAAGAATATCTAGAATTTGGTGGGAGAAATAAACTAAAATAAGGATTGTAACATGATTTATGATAAGGCAACCAAAATGACTGAAAAGAAAAGAAATATTATACTAATATGATTATTATTTTAGGAATATTGGAAAAATTATATACTTAATTGTTATTCATTAAAACAATAAGAATTGTATTAACTCAATGTTTGCAAAAAAGGATATTTTGGAGAAAGAGGAAATCAACCAAAATTAATATATGGAACACAGATTATAGAAATTAATTGTTAAGGATTGTTTCACAAATGAAACCCAGACAACACACTGTTTACCAGTTATTGAGTGATTTATGCTTTGTTAAAAAATAAATAAAATATATTTAAAAAAAAAGACCGGCTAGAAATCAGGAGTCTGGGATTTCTTCTGAGCCTAAGAAATGTAGCCAGGTGGGTGAATTTAGGCCTCTTTCTCACACTCAGAAAGGCAGGAAGCAGTGGTAAACACATTCTGAAAATGTTGTCATAGCAGAGCTGTCAAAAATCCATATTTATCATATATAAAGTACATTAACAATAATTAGGGATGTAGGAAGATTGTTGAGCAACATCTGGAGCTCTAGTATTCTCCTGATTTGAGAGGTTGGATTGGTCTCCATCTCAACTATCCCTTTCTACCATATTCCTTTATTCAGAAAAGTAAAAGAAAGGCCAGGAAAATGCAAGACTGTGGTGGACAGAATAGAAGCATTAAAAGATTTTTTTTCAGAACCTCCACAACTGAGAAAGAACATATTTTATATTCTGATTTCTCATGCTATAGATGATTGGATTGAACAGGGGTGGAAAAAGAGAATAGAGAATAGTTGATCCAAAATCTAAGTGAGATGAAGTGTTAGAGGGAGGTCTTAGATAGGCAAAACATACACTTAATACTAACACAGACACTACTATAAAGTGGGGAATGCAAGTGGATAAAGCTTTTTGTCTTCCTTGCTCAGAAGGGATTCTCAATACTGTCTTGAAGATCACTGCATAAGATATGAAAATAAAAGTAAAACAGCCTAGTGCAGCAATGATGTTGACCACAACAATTCCAACCTCAACTAGATTGAAGCCAGAACAGGATAGTTTTATCAATTGTGGAATTTCACAAAAAAATTGGTTGACAACATTAGAACAAAAAGGGACTGAAAAAGTGCCAATTGTATGTAGGATTCCACAGATAAGACCTGAAACCCACACTAGAATGATTATTTCAGTGCAGGCTTTCCAATTCATCACCATCTCATAGTGCAGTGGGTGGCAAATGGCTACATACCGATCATATGCCATGACTGTCAGGAGGGATACATCAGAGGCTTCAAAGGATAGAAGGAGAAAGACTTGAGCAACACAACCAAAATAAGAGATGTGTCTGGTGTCCATGAGAGAATTTATCATGGATTTGGGGATAATTACTGAAACAATGCCCAAATCCTGTAGAGCCAAATTCATTAGAAAGAAGTACATGGGGCTGTGCAGTCGATGGTGAAAAGCTATTGAAGAGATGATGAGAAGATTTGTTGTTACAGTTGCCATATATAACACAAAGAAGAAGAAGAAAAACAAAAGCTGCAGATGCCGATTTTTTGATAATTCCAGGAGCAGAAAATAAGGCACTGTGGTTTGATTCTCCATGTTCATTTTTGTCAAAGCTGGCATAACTGCAAGGAAACAGGAGGGAGATAAAATTAAATAAATTTTTGGAAGTAGTATTTTGATGTGTAATAAGAATAGAAAACATAAAGAAACATAAAGCATGGAAAGAATGAATAGATGATCACAACATGGTAAACATAGATGAAGTATGGGGATATTAGAGCACACTTGTCAATTTTTATCTGTCTGTACTAAAGGACCAACCACACACTGTAATTTGCTAAAAAAAAAATTACAGGGAAATATTGAGAGCCGAAATTTCTTTGTGTGTTTGTGTGAGTGTGTATGTGTTAGCGAGACAGAGACACACACACAGAGAGAGAGCCAGAGCCAGAGATATTTTTTTTCTCTATTTCCCCAGCAGCTGTTAGGCTAAAAAAAAATAGTATAAAAACCCGTACATTAATACATAAATACTAGATTCTTAAATATGTATTTAATGATATGTTGTTAAATAAAGATAGAATTTTACTTATAACCTAACTGCTATTTTTATATTCACTTCGTGGTATTATACACAATTACCTCACTGTAAAATATGTTTAATCAAAAGAAATAAAATTTTAGCAGAATAAATTAATAAATCCACTTGTCAAACAATGAAAAGGAAAGTGATACCTTAATTTGAAAATGCAGTCTCCTATCCAGTAAAAACCAATATTACCTTTTGGACAGAAAATGAGGCACAACCTATTACAAGTATGAACTCTGACTTCCCAGCGGTTTTTTTTTTCCAACAATATGGGATGCTATGTAAGCACATTTTCAGGTATATTACTTACACATATACAATTGAGAAATAAAAAGAGATTTAGTAATCCTTACCATCCATTTCTTTTATTTGTACCCAGAGAGATCAGATCATGCATGAAAGCTTGGTCCAAATTTCTGCAACTTCTAACTGTCTTCTATTCTTTGTAATTATCATGTAGAAAATGCACCAACATGGTAGATATGTAATTAATTCATTGTTTACTATTTACAAAATATGTATCTCCAAAATATATTCTTTCAAAATAAGTTTAAATCTACTGTCTGAAATCAAATTTCTAAAAAATTATCTAAAAAAGCTTCCCATTTGTTCTCTTCCCCAAAATAGCCTAACTTTATTTCATTAAATCAGAAGATTATATTATGCAATTATTTGCCAAAAATTCTTTTCTAGCAAAACAACTTTGAGATATAACACATATTTGAATAAACATTAAATTTGCTACAGAAAAAAGGGAAATACCTTTTCTGTTGAATTTTCAATTTATAACTGACTATTTTTCTCCATGGATCTTGTCTTCTGTTATATGCTTTTAAGAATGCTAAATATCTTACGAAGTAAATACTGTCCCACTAATTTTCATGAATTGGAATAGCTGTCTGTCATTCAAGAGCTTCCTATTCTGAATGTGACTAATATCTGTTTTGTTTCTCTCAGGAATCTTCTACACTAAAATAAAACTGCTTAATGTGGGTTCATTAACATAATTAGCAAAACAAAACAAAACTTACTTCTGTCAGCTTATTAACATATTTAGGAAACCAACTGTGGGAAGAATCCAGAGAAATAAATATTTTGGGAAATATTAAAAAGGCAGGATATATTTCCCCAAAGGATTTTAAAGGCAGAAACCAACACCCCCCAAGTCTCTCTGCCCCAAACAGAAACCAGGTCTGCAGAAATACGGATGTGATAATCTTGCAGAAAGATTGGAGTCAGGAAGCTGGGATTAGAAAGACAAAGATCCCTAGAATCAACAATCCCTCACACAAAAAAATCCAATAGTTATCAGCCACAGCCCCATGGAAGCAGGATATGACCTCTGGGACGTAATAGGATTAGCCCACCACCATCAGAATACTAGAAAGGCACACTCAGACTCAGGTCAAAGTTTATGCCACAGGAACAACTCCAAACAAAAGCCCAAGAAGGTATAAAAGCCCACTCCCTACTACATGTGGTTAGTTAGTCTTTCCATCTGGCTCTCCTCTTCAATAAACTGCAACCTTCTTTCTAAAGCAGTCTCCATTTTGTTTATTCCCAGCTTGGACTGGACCTGGATGAAGATTTTTCTTTCAACACAACATAAACTGACTTCTCTTGCTTGTTAACATAATTGTCCATTAATAACTGCACAGCTACAGGACCAGTTATCACATAGAATAATAATATCTCACAATGTTCTAAAGAAAATTGGGGGTGTAATCATACCAGCAGTGCAAATTGTGAGAGGTGAAATATAAATAAAGTGAGAACCACCTCCCTGAACCATATTTCACCACTTAAGGTTCTCTTTTAAAAACTAGCTTTTAAGTAATTTCATCCTCTATTCCAGGGCTTTTCAACCTTTTCACCCATTGTACCACTTTTAGGATATGGCAATATCCGAGTACCACCAGTTGCCTAGCAAGGTGTCAAAAACTTAATGACCCCCCCCAAAAGGAAAAAAAAGTGATGAAGTACAGGTAGTCCTCGACTTAAAACAGTTCACTTAGTGACTGTTTGAAGTTACAATGGCACTGAAAAAGTACCCCCCCAAGCCACAGCCGAGAAAGACAACTGCCTGCCCACTCGGCGGCGCTCTTCCTCCTGTCTGAGTTTTTCATTGTTGTGAGCATTTCTGTTGAGGATTGGCAGCAGGGGTGGGGGGGTGTTTGGTTTTTATTCCTCCCATCTGCTGGATGGTTGCAGCAGGTTTTGGTCACTTCACATGACTCTGGGACACTGTGACTGTCATAAATATGAATCAGTTGCCAAGAATCTGAATGTAAATCACAAGACCCTGGAGATGGTGCAACATTCCAGCTGATCAGCACTTCTTCTAGGCTCAGCAGAAGCTCCAGGATCCTGGTGCTTCCACTGAGCCCTGACAGCCCCAAAGAAGTGCTGATCCTGGCACTTCCGCTGTGCCCTCACAGCCCTGCAGCTCCAGCCATCTCTTGCTCAGGCTTGTGCGGTGCTGCCACCAGTTCAGCTCATTCCCTCCCCCGCTACCACTTTTCTAGGATGGTCGCATACCACCTGCCAGGTGCCAATGTACCACAGGTGGTACCCATACCACTGGTTAAAAAGCCTTGCTCTATTCTACCTGCCACAACTGGGGTAAGAGCTCAAACTGGACTAGATGTCAAAGCTGCTAACATTGGATGTTCTTGCTCTGACAAAATATGCAGAGCTGTGTGGTATTTTTAGAGTTAACTCAGAAGACGCTGGGAGGGGAGAAGGAAGAAAGTATGAGTTGCAAACGGAAGAGAACCTTTGCCCTTCAAACTAATTGGAGAACTTAAATCATGACAGCAAAATCAGAGAAGGAAAATGCTAGCAAAAATAACTGCTCCGGAGTGGAGATTTCAGATCTTAGCATCCCTTCTTCATGCTGTGCCAACATTTTGTCACATGAATAAAAAGACTTTTTAGGATAAACAATGCCTGGAAGTTCTTTAAAGTGTTTCATTAGTCGGAACCTTGACATCATGCTAAGATCTAAAATCCTTTTCACCAACCTGGGATCCTGAACTCCATCCGCTGTCTCTAGGCTTGAGAGGAGCTGGTAAAGATTCAGGGAAGGAAAATCTATCATGAAAAAAGTTAGTTTGCTTGAAGACCCAGCAGCTGCTGATAACCCAGAGGAGGAAACAACAGACAGCATGCTGTGGGAAGATGAATTCTGGCAGATATCCCAACTGGTAGCAAAGACTTCAAAAGCAGAATGGTGGAGAGCTAACGAATGGCCTGCTACTCAAGCTTTGGGTGAGTCACTGGAAAGATTTCAAAACCCAGATGTGAAAAACAGAAATCAATTCCTGCAGAGAGGAGCCTACAGCCTTTCCATTGCAGATCAGAAAGCCTTTCAGATCCTGTCTTCCCCTGCCAGAGACTCCAGCCCTGAAGAGAGAGGGAATCCCAGTCTGAGGCCTCTGCAGCAATGGGGAGATTGGCACCCCACACAGGTAGTTGATCAGCAGCATCTGAGCTTGCCACAGCTAATAGAGGCCTTACAACAGCTTGGGGTGGTGCAGAAGCCAGGAGATCAGCAGCTGGTGGGAGGACAACCACAGCAAAGAGATTGGTCACCACCCCTGAACGTACAGCAACTGCTGAGGGACTTACAGCAACAGGGGGCATGGCCACAGCCCCTGAACATGCAACCCCTGGGCATGAACCAGCAACCAGGATGGGGTCAGCAGCAACAGCCACAGTGGGGACCCCAACAGGCTATAATTGCAGAGCAACCTTCGATGGGGATCCAGAGAACCTGATTTTCTTTCTCAACCAAGTACGCTCTCATTTGAATGTCTGGGCTTATCTCTACCCGACCCAGGTGCCATGGTCGATGTGATAGCATCCAGCCTAGAGGGAGAAGCATCCGAATGGCTGAACAATTTATACAATGAGCAAGCTGCCAAATTGGAGGACCCCAACCTCTTCCTCCTAGGGCTGAGAGAAAGATTTGAGGACACATCTCTTGACCTAAAGGCAAGAGAACAAATCCACAAAATAAAACAATCTGGCAGGCCTGCCCTGGAGTATGTGCGAGAATTTCGCAAGTTAGCAGGTCGAATAGAGGGGTGGCCAGAGCAATCCCTAATCCATCACTTCATAGAGGAATTAGACGATCACCTCTCTCAAGCCTGCATCTATC